ACATTACACCTGTAGTTGTCCATGCGATGTCCGTCACACTCTCGGGGTGGAACAAAATGCAGGGGTAGCAGAATAAAGTGTTAGCTACTTCGAGCCATTTTTTCCATTTTTTCCGCTCATACCACGTCCTCGAAAATCTCTGTTTATACGACTTCCCACCCTTTTGTTTGATGTCATTACACTGCTCACTTATATCACATTACTCACTTATATCACTCTTAATATTACTCACTTATATTACATTACTCCCTTACATTAACATTACACCTGTAGTTGTCCATGCGATGTCCGTCACACTCTCAGGGTGGAACAAAATGCAGGGGTAGCAGAATAAAGCGTTAGCTACTTCGCAGCCCGCTAGCCATTTTTTCCGCTCATACCACGTCCTCGAAAATCCCCGTTTATACGACTTCCCGCCCTTTGTAGATACATGTTTGATGTTTAAATTTGGTCTTGGTGGTCCTAATTCTTTAATTGAAGTCTATGAGAGCACTCGGGGCGATTCTCAGTCTGACAGAAATCGCCCAAAAAGGGGCGGTACTACACAAAACGTGACTCGACGCTGATTGGACTATTTAGAGGCAGAACAAACAGTGAAAGCTAGCGTAACACTGTGGTTGAATGTGAAAGAAAAAAAATCCCTCCCTTTCGCGCTTTGGTGGTGCGTCGCCCAATCACCCTAATGGAGAAACCGCCCCTGGTTTGACGTGTAATTTTGTAGTGTTTACTCAGTCCATTTAGCTTTGTGTAACAAGACATTTGAGTAGAGTACATATTTAAGAATTGAAATTTACTGTCTACAGGTGAATTAAGGTTTTTGTTGTTTTGATTTTCTAAATACAGCTCTGTAGTTGTTACTCATAAATATTGAATGATATTTGGTTTTTTGAATATGATATTTTCTCTATGATATTGATATTTTATTATTGATATTTTGAATTTACACTGGAAAAAATGTCTAGAAATAATTCACTCAGAAATTGCTCGTAAATGTTACAAACAATGACAAAAACAGCAAAATAACATTGAATTAAAATTCTAAAAGTAGAAAATTCTAAATTCTGAAGTAGAAAAGCTTAGTATTTTCTTATAAAATTTTCATTTTGTTTACTACTTCAGAAATTCATTTTTCACGGTGTATATTGTTTATATAGATTTAATATATAGTTTTATTTTATATATAAACTTATTTTAAAAGTTTAGATATAATATTTTATAAAGATTTAATTAATGAGAATTTTAATTATTGATATTTATAATTTTATTGATATTTTATTATATTTTCTCCATTTTATTTAATATTGAATGATATTTGATTAATATTTAAGTGATATGTTTTCTCTGATATTTATATTTGATTATTAATATTTTGATTTTCATTAACTCATTAATTCATTTTTAAATATACAATTTTATATATATGAAAAAAATATATATTTATAATTTGAATGATTGATATTTAATTAATTATATTTTCTCTATAATATTTAATATTTGATGATATTTGATTAATGGCATTTGCTTGGTATTCTTTCCACATGTTTGAGTGACTGTGTATGTTTGGCATTTGGTTGTCCAAGGATGATTTGACGTATTTTAGCCGCTGCAGAGTGTTTGTTATTTCTTATGTCTGTTGAAGAAGTCATTGGATTCGTTGGAAGTATCTGTTTGTGTATAGAGCCTCGAAGTGATTAGCACCAGTGATACTGTCAAGTACTGTATGTTTTCACGAAGACGAAGTTGTTGATATATATTCAAAAAGCAGATGTCCTTGTCTGAAGTGAGTGTAAATCCTAGATTCTGGATAAATAGGATATGGTGGTTTAATGTTTAAAACACGAAGAGAAAACAATTTTATTGCATATCAAACAGAACGTCCCCTCACTCTGACAGCATGTTAACATACTTTATTTATGATATCAGTTCCTCTTCATGATAAGTGCTGGAAAGTCTCTAATGCAGGAAAGATGTGCTGGTCTAGTTCAAGCTTGGTAACGATGAGCCATCAGAATCTGTGTATTCTCAAAACCACCTCCACTTTACACAGCCTCCTTCTAAATTCTTGACAGATGTATTTGGTTGTGCTAGCAACCCTTAATTTTCTCCTCAAAACCCACATGCAAGTGTCTGCGAAGTCTGAGCAGCGTTGGGCATCATCTTGTCAGTGTTATCTTCCATTCCCTGATTGCTTGGTTGTTCCCTGTGGTATTTTTTGTATATCCGCAGTGAAGCCTTTGTGAAGAGTGGAATGAATCATGACTTCTCTTACACATGAAGCCTGAAGCCAAAGGGGACCTTTAGAAGTTACTATGATGCCATATGAAATTTTTTTTTATCTAAGTTTCTAATGCCAACTCACTAACATAACTGTCACTCTAGCAACCTCTGTTCTAGACCACTCAAATTTATTCAACTCGTTTTCAAAAATGTCTATATAGCCTAATAATTATAATGACATTGTTTTAGAACAGTAAGCATTTTATAACCTTTGATTTTACATTCACAGTGTTTAATTAATCTCATAACTTTGTTACTTTTATCTCATAATGTTATGTTTATATTCTCAAAACTTTGACTTATTCATGTGGAAGTCCTATTATGAGATTATTTATTACAAAAGATTACTCTAAATGTCTTTTTTGTATGTTTCTTCATTTTAGATTCTTTCTTATATAAACATGGCCCTACAATGTCTTATTCTGTTAGGAATTTCTGTCATATTAATGTAATGAAAATATTGTATTTGCATCTGCCTCAATTCAAACTCATGATATTATTATTATTGTTATTTAATAATTATTTTAAATATTATATAATTATTGATATTTAGATTTTTAAAAAATAATGTATTCTATATTGGTTGTATAAAGTTT